CAAGCTCGGAGCTTTCCTCAAATCTTTGCCTCACTTCACTCAACATCGAAAGGAAAGTCTACCTTTCTTAAAGCGCCAGAATTCCGACAGAGTTGGAGCCTATGCCCAGAACCCCAAAGCCCTGAAACCCTAGGCCTTAAACCCTGCTTTCTGACCCGCTGGGGACATCTGCTGCTTCCGCACAGTTGTGCTCCAAGCCTCGATACACCCAGGCCTGCAAACTAGAGCTTTTGCATGTACTAAACATTCCCAAAAATACGTAGTAATAGAGGGAGTTTGCATGATCGACCATGAAAATGGTAGAAGCAACAAGAAGATAGCAGCGCAACCAACATCAGAACTCTTGACCAAAAGCCCGACTCCCTACAAGCACGGGTGAGCTTCCGGAATGCCGAGGCTGTAACTCTCTGGTTCGCGAGATTGACGATGAGATGATGAATATCCACCGTTTCGCCGGAGGGCTGCAAGCAAGCACGGAGTCCATTTTCCCAAAGTTAAGGGTCTGTAATTCAGAAGCTCTATCATACTTCCAAGACTGTTGTAATTGAGGAGCTGTCTTTGGGTTCTTGTTTTGTGACAGCTGGGGAGAAGCTTCGGCAGTCCAAAATAGCAAGCACAGGGTGGGAAATGAGGCATACGTTTACGAGCCCGTGAACTAGATAGCTGTTGTAGTGAGACCACGGCAAAACGCTGCCACTGCGATGTCCCGTCGAATACTTCTCGGATGATGGTTCCCACCGCTCCATCCTTCTCCGTCTGGTGCCCTCCTCCTCGTGCGCCAGGACGACTACTGCTTCTACCGCTGCCGGGGGCGACTACCACTATCACTACCAGTGCTACTGCTGCTGCTCCTGCCAAAGCTACTGCTGTCGCCTCTCATTACTGAGAAGAATGCAGTATTACTATTGCTGCTGCTCCTCCTGCTGCTCGTCTCTGGTTCCGGCTCCTGCTTAGCTGCCGCCCTGCTGGTCAAGATGCTGATGCACCAGATGACAAAGATGACGATGAGGGGTAAGATGATGATGAGGCCTGTTATGACGATGACCAAACGAGCCACAAGTTTCTGACTATGATGACCACACTGACGTCGACTATGAGAACGGTGATGATGATGACGATGAAGAAGTGTCTGGTGCTTTATAGGGAATGAGGGAATGGGTTATAGGGACTACTATAAGGGACCTCAAGGGACTATCATAGGGATCCATTCCCCCATTCCCTACTAAGCACCAGACAGAGAAGAGCGCAACAGGTTTAGGGATGCTCATGCTGACGTCAGCGATGACGACGACGCGTAGTTGTGACGACCATCTTGGCGTTGAGGGTTGTAGCGGTTACGATGGTGAAGACAGTTGTGATCTTGAAGCTGTAGAACAGCAGAAAATCGCATAAGATAAGGGCGTAGAGCACTGTCGAAGATGGTGGCAGGCTGGCACTGAGATGCTGCTAAGAGTCAAAACCCATGCATCTGTACAGTCTCCAAAAGCTTTGCTTCGAGTAGGCTTTTGGCCATGACCCGAGCCCTGTTTTGCAACCGAAGCCCTGACAGCGAGCCGAGACAGTGCGAGTAGAAAGCCCTGAAACAGCGGCCTGCCTGAGCTGAGGGGGTTTAGGGTTGAGGGTTTGTTTAGGGGTTTAGGGGGTTTAGGGCTTTAGGGCTTTAAGGTTTAGGGTTTAGGCTTTAGGTAAGTGCTCTCCAAGGTCCGAGACATTTATTCCAAGAAGTTCCCGGAGCTGCGAGCTTAGACGAAGGACAGACTCCTAGGTTTGCCCATAACCGCTAGGACTAGGATACCTTGCAATCTGCGGAGGTGACCAGCAGACGTGAAACCCGGACCATGCTTCTCTACAGTTTCCCATTGAGCATCCTCGTTTCCGATGTTGGGCTCTTGTTCAGGTAGTCCAGCTTACCGTGACAAGCATCGCAGGATATCTAGACCAGATTATCGGTGCTTTCCTCACTATGGTAACTTTACAGGAAGCTACTGAGCAAAACCCGCGGGGCTTCAGGTCCACAACTTAGTAAACATCGCGACCTCTCTGTAAGACAGATGCCCATTAATACGAGCAGCGGTACACAAAGTTGAACCTGCAACGCCGGCCTGAAGTAGAGGTATATTGGGCGTTGTGTAGGTGGGGCTTGTTCGGAAAACCGTGAGTGAATATTGTACGTGGGGTGTCATTACGGTGATACTCGTCACAAAACCAGTACTGTACTTCAGACCTAGAAACAATACCGGAACCCTACACTCGCAAGTCCTAGGCACCTAAACTGTTGACCCCAAGTCTTAAAGACCTGAGGCCCCTGAGGTCGTTAAAGTTTGCAAAAATCTCCCCGTACCGTCCCTATATGTTTATATTGTTTATACGACGTCATACCCCAAAACAGCCTTGTCCCACTTATTACAGCCTCTATTTGGGTAGTTCTCTAAATTTGGGTTCCTTTTATCAGGGTGCTGTACTATGTTGGGGACCTCAAACCCTAAACCCTAAGCCCTAAACCCTTAATTTAGAGAACTACCCATGTAAGGCCAGGGCGCCTGGTAAGCCCAGGTTGGAGTCCATCGTGACCAGTCCTTTGGACTATTTGCAGGCCACTTTCGGGTTTAGGGTTTAGGGTTTACGGCTTAGGATTTAGGCTTTAGGGGGGTCATGGGTTCGCACAGAGCCCAACTCGCATATTCAGCGGCTGTACAAGACATGCCCCTGAAGTTGCAACGAGAACAAACCGCACTTTATTTTGTACGTAGTACTTATGGAAGGAAAATTCCTGAAATTTTAACAAGCAGAAGCCCTGCAGGTTGCTTGCAGAGGCAGAGTATGGCTTAACTAAAGAGAAGATGGGGTTCTTGGGGTTGAGGGCCCCGCCTTAACTCCCCCTATACCTAAGACCCTCAGCATGAACTTTGGACCCTGAACCCTACATAAACTCTCACCCTAAACCCGAAACCCTAAACCCTAAACCTCAAACTTAAAAGCCCAAAGCTTGTTAAAAGCCTGAACCCTAAAGCCAAGAAGGCCTAAAGCCCTGCGCCTCCCCCCGTTTTGGTGGACTTCAAGGTAGAGCCCAGATCCTAACAGCTTTGTTAGGGCTTAGGGTGTGGAGTTAAGGTTTTGGGTTTAGGGTTTTAGGATTCTTGTTAGGCTTTAGGGTTTGGGGTTTGGGTTTAGGTTTAGGGTTTAGGGTTTAGGGTTTAGGGTTTGGGGTTTGGGGTAAGACCCAAAGCCCTAAGCCCACCTCCGTCACGCAACAAGAAGCCCAAGCCCTGAAGGTGGTCCAGCGAATCGGCAACACCAAGGCAAGGCCCTCTTTTAGGGTTTAGGGTTTAGGGTTTAGGGTTTAGGGTTCTTCGTTGGACGTCCTCTGTGTGTTTTGTTATTAGGGGGGGGTGGCTGTTGGGTCCTTGGTTTCAGGGCATTCAGGGTTTTAAGGAGGGTGAAGGTCTTTCGGGGTTTTAGGGTTCAGGGTTTAGGGGTCTTCAGGGAGGTCGGCAGGAGTTTCGGAGTGTTTCGGGCTTTAGGCGGTCGCGGTGTGATTGTGTATGCTCTAAATCCTAACCGCAACCCCCAAGCCCCAAACCCCAAATCAACCCTCATCCTTACACCGTAGGCCCCAAGTCCGAGCCCCAAAAAGCCTAACCGTCATAGAGACATCAGGTTGAAAAGGTGCATGGGTTTAGGGTTTAGGGTTCAGGGTTTAGGGTTTAGGGTTTAGGGGCTGTGTTGGCTCCTACAGGACCTTACAACAATCGACTTCTCCGACATCCTGCCCAACACCGCGGTGATGGCAATCACAGTGCGAGCCTGAACTGATGATCTAGGCACCGGTAGGGATCGCAGGGCCCTACCCTTAGGCTCCATTGTAGTTCCTTTTTGGGATTACCTTATAGGATCCTAAGTATGAACCACAAAAGGGAACTACTGTGGGGCCTATGGGTAGCAACTTTTTTGGAGTTCAGGGTTCCTGAACCCACGGAGGACGTGTCTGTTGAGTCCATTCCAGAAGCAGTCGTCTAGTTTCAGAGGTTGCCTTGGAGCCCAATCTGACGCCAAGGAGGTTTCGCATCTGTGAGTTGTTGCTCACCCTAAACCCTAAACCCTACACCCTAAACCCCGGCTCGTTGGTCGGGTGTCCCCAAGACTCCCATCATGCTGACTCGAACCGGCCGGATGGTAACGTAGGGGCCTGAAAAGTTTAATTCCCTGTGCTATTTTGGGGTTTCCTTAGTATGACTATAGTATAATGGGCCCCAAACCCCTATTCTAATTATTAAGGCCCTCATGTTACCTTCAACAGCCATGCGCGGCATCATGCTACAAAGAGTGTCATGGAAGCCGCAGCACCGGCGCTTCAGTCTTTGGACGGCGACATATGCTGCCAAAAAGCTCTTCACTTCCGTGTGGAACCTTCTTCCAGAACACGAGCAAGTCAATCAAATTGGACGGGTGAAGATCGTTGTGAAGAGCCCGCAGCATGTGGGGACAAGCTACTAGGAGGCATCGAAGCATGATTCACTGGAGACTCACATCCAAAACTTGCCTGGTGTGGAAGGATCTGGCGTTGCGCACAAGAGGGCCGAAGGCGATCTTGACCGTGAGGTCATTCAGGTACGTGACACCGACAGTTTCAAGATGTTCCTCTCCGTTCCAGAAAAAGACCGTGGGGAGCTTCGGGTTGTCATACCGCCTCATGACCACTTGTCTGGGGCTTTCGAGGTTGTTCGTGGCATCACAGATCAGTGCTCAAATCGCTTGATTCAGTGGTGCATTAAGCGGCTCGGACGAGCAGAGGTCAGCAACAGTGGGGCTCAAGTCTCTGACAGATCTAGGCGTCGATATCAAGGCAGCGTATCACCAAGGAACCAGTGACATCAAACACTTTGTGGAGGTGACCGGTGAAGCATTCAACTTAAAGAGCTCACTGAGTCGTTGGAGAAGGACGGTATTCCACTAAAAACCGTCAACGCCACTTGAAGAGCACAGCTCGAAGAGCACAGCTCATGAAAAAGAATGCAGAGGGCGTTTTCGATTGGAAGCTGGTCGATGGCAAGTTGGAGTATTGGTACATTATGATATTTTTTACCCTGCGAAACGCCCTTGTTGGCTCAGGAAGCTCAGGAGACAGCAATAGCTCGCTCGCCCTGTCAATTTCACAGATGGCAGCGTTGCAGAACTTTGTGGAGGTATCTGCGATGAATTTCTGGAAAAAAAAAAGAGCCCGCGAGCTGCTAGAAGCTGATGCCGATCAAGACAATGAAGACGATGACGAGGAGTTCCTTGATGCCCGCAGGCCAAAGTCGTGGGACCAGGGCCAGATTGATCCCATCTACTGCTGTGGTACGGCACATTTGGGGTGTATCCGGGCAGGGTGTACTGCCCTCAAACCGAAGTCCTCGGACCCTGCTACACTGCTGTGGTACGGTGTGTGTTGGCATGCAGGGTGGATCAGAAATGGAGTCTTTGTCTAAGACTTGGCAATTGAAAGTCAGATAAGTGTCTGCAGAGGATCTCGTTTTAGGTACTAACGATGTGCCGGTTCAAGGCCTGGAAGCATTAGCCACCCAAAAAGAGATCGGGCAAGAAGTCGCACTCTCACGGTTGAATCGGTCCTCAGCCAGGGACGCAGATCCCGAAGCAGCGAAAGCGTGGAAATGCACATCTCTGGAGTTTTGGCTTCGGGGTTCATGGCTCAAGCGCTAAAGTGTAAGCCCCAAAGGGTTTAAAGTCTAGGAAGCTTGGGACTTAGAGGGCGGCATCTTCCAGCAGAGATATCCCCAAGCCGCCATTCTCGAAGTCTGTGGTCTCGGAACCCTAAGCCCTCAACTTCAAAACCTAAAAATAAGCCTCAAGTGCCCTTGGGCCCAACCCTACATCGCACATGTCATCGAGGATTTCCATAGTGTAAGTCATAAGGGCTGTATAGTATCAACATGGTTTATATTGCCTTTCGGAGCGTCGATACGGGATCATTGGGCCTCATACTGGTTCGTGCAGGGCTCAGGATTCAGGGCGTGGAGTGTAGGTTTACGACGCAGGACAAGCGATGCGGGACTCGAAACCCGAAGCCTTCAACACATGAACCCTCGACCTGAAACCTTAACTCATTGGGGATCGAGCTCGAAGACGTGTTTACACCCAATGCACCTCTTTGCCACATGTCCGCCACTCCATCCCGAGGTGACAGCATCGATGACGGCTGGTACGCAACTGCCAAGGCTGGGTACAAGCGACGGGTTTAGGTTCTAGGGTTTGGGAGAAGGGTCCAAACCCTATTTTAATTATTCATAAAGGCCCTTACATTATTAGGCGGATCTAGGGTTTTGGAATGTTTTGGATGCCCAGCTTGGGAGCAGGTCCTTGCGCTCAAGGTCTGCGCGTGTGCTCGTAACAACTTGCACCGGGTGCTGTGAGATGCAATTAAATACAGGGGCCTAAATAAATACCCATATTAGTTTGGGGGTTCCTTATTATAGTTACTATATACTGTAATATACCCCGAAACCCTATTCTACTTATTAAAGCCCTTACATTACATGTGTAGGGTTGATATTCGGACCCGAAGATATTTGACCTCACCAAGCATGCCAACTCCGCAAGATGTAAACCTGGAGTCGGTCCTCTTCAGAATTGACATTCTTTTTATGTAGGGGCCTAACTAGTGACCTATACTATCTTGGGGGTTCCTTGCTACAATTATGGTATAGTGGCCCCCAAACCCTATTCGAATTATTCATACTGGAAACGTTTTCTGATGCGGAGGCAGGAGCTGGACAAGCTGCTAGTTGGTTGCGCGGGGCGCTCATGTCCCGACGTTTGTTAGGTGGGGGTTCGGGCTTAACCCTATACGGTCAGATAGTGGGACATCGCCAGTGCAAGCATTGGAACCTGTTGTCGGCAACCTTCCACATGTGTTTATTACATTCCTCGAGCCTGCTATATCTCGGGCTAGTTGTGCCTCATGTAGCTGTGCAATAATGCGCAAATCCTTCTACCACACGGAGTCCTGATCGCCATTGTCGGAGCCTCATTGCAGCCTGACCCCCGCAAATTTCAGTGTGCTGCGGCGAGTCGTGTGCTGAATGATCTACGCAGCTGTTTGGATTTCTGGCGTTGCAGTGAAGGAGTCAGTCCCGTGCATATTATTTCTGCCTCTTGCAGCAGCTGTTGCACTTGCGATGATGTGCAAAATGAAATTTACCACAATGAGAGCGGGGCACCTGTGTCTTGGCCTGATTCCATCATGACCCACTTAAATCTGACCATGCTGCTGCGATTGAGCGTCAAGTCACGTGTTGAGTGATCTACACATGTCTTCAATGTTCTGGCGTTGCAGTGATTGTCTGAACGAAGTGTTGTGAAGGCCG